TGACGTCATGGAACATCTTGTTGTTCACCTCGCATACGAGGCATTGCTTCATGGTCCTGTTCACCATGGATGGATGTATCCGTATGAGCGCGCCATGAAATATTTGAAGGGGAAAGTAAAAAATCTTGCAAAGGTGGAAGGTTTAACAATTGATGGGAGTTTGACAGCGGAAACATCTCACTTCACATCATACTACTTTGCACCAACAGTACATACAAGAAAAAGAGTTCCTCGAAGATATGATGATGGTGGAGTCATCCCCACATATCCAATAAGCAATGTTCTTGATATTTTCTGCCAAATTTGACAGTTTGGTGGTAGATTGCGAGAAATATGGTGGTCTAGTGACGAGGATAAGCATAGTGCCCACACTTATATTCTGCTCAACTGCGAGCATTCAGTGACACGTTCATTTGAAAGGTAAATAGTTATGTGAATTTAAATTATATGAAGTGCGATGTTATATATATTGATGTGAATACATTCATTTAATTTGCAGTTCTTTTGTAACGCAAGTTGAAGCAGCAATACCTGGAGTATCTGCAACTGAAGTGGACCGACGAAAAGATCAACACTATGTCACATGGTTAAAATCTCAGGTAATATATATACCTCAAATATTACGTAAGTAATGCTAATATAAATTGTTAACATACTAATTTTTGTAGGTTGAAGCTGATGATCCATATTACCCCCAATGGTTTCACGATTTGGTCCGAGGTCCAGTAGCGAAAGTCACCACATCACATATGTATTTTACACGCGTTTTACGTTTCATACATACGACTATGGGAGTCATCGGGCAACAAGTAACTACGGAATATGTGTGAAAGGCAAAACAAACTTCTATGGGATCTTGCAGGAGATTATTGAAGTGGAATTTGCGGGATTATTGAAGCTCAGATGTGTCCTCTTCAAATGTGAGTGGTTCGACCCTGTTGTGAATAAGGGTGTTCGGGTTAACAAATTCGGTGTTGTGGCTGTCAACTCTTCAAGAAGATACAACAAATTCGAACCTTTCATCTTAGCTTCTTAAGCCGAGAAAGTTAGCTTCATTTCATACCCTCGCCTTAGAAGTTCAGGAACAACTTGGTTAGCTGTTATCAAGATTACACCTCGTGGACGAATTATTGCTGGCGAAGAACCACCCTTGCAAGAAGAAGCGTGTGTCACTGAAGTAGAAGTACCTGATCAAGAAACTGATGAAATCTTTCTTATTGATCCGCATAATCATCAATATGAAGATCTTCCCGACGATGTGATGGATGAAACATGTGAAGACGAATTCGAAGGTATAAGCGATGATTATTCCCCTGATGTTGATGAGAACTCGAATGATTCCGAATGATGTAAAATATGTATCAAATGTTGTTTTTTTATATCAATTAACGATGTGTAACAAATGTTGTTTAATATAATAAGTTTAACAAATATTGTTAAGTATATAGTAAGTTTAGGGTTTAGAAGAAGAAGAAGAATAAGAAGAGAAGAAGAATAAAAAGAGAAGAAGAAGTAACTTTGGGGTTTAGGGATTTGATTTTCGGGGTTTCATACATTTCCTAGTTAGTTTGTCGTAATGGAAACACGAGCCTGGAAAGTTCGTCGTAACGTGAAAAACACGGGCCTGGTAAGTTCGTCGTAACGTGAAAAACACGGGCCTGGTAAGTTCGTCGTAATAGAAAACACGGGCCTGATAAGTTCGTCGTATTGGAAACACGGATCTGGTAAAAGCCTTGTTAATTTACGACGAGCTTACGAGGAAGGCAATTATCTATATAAGCACACTCGCATATGAGGCTGCTCGCCTCGTTCATTCCTCCTTACCTCCTCTCCCTCTCAAGGTAACCTCCTCTCTTTTTTTTTTTTTTTTTTTTAGTTTAGTTTAGTTTTAGTTTAGGTAGTTAATTAGGTGGTTAGTGTAGCTGATTAGATGGTTAGTTTAGATGATTAGATTACGTATTTAATTAGTTTAGATAATAAGTTTAAGATAATATGATATTTATTTATTTTATTTAGATGGCTCCTAGACCGAAACCGATTAGACCACCTCCTTCGTATAGTGAGTTGTTTGGTACTGATGGTATCAGACATCGTCTTCCGGCCCGTCATCTTCCGACCGTGTGCCGGAGTCTCAGGCATATTATCCCGGCAATGATATACCATATCATGAGGTGCCTCCACCTTCCGGTCCTACTCGACATCCCGATACTAATCCCGCACCTGATCCCGATCCCATTCCCGCAGGCGGTGATCAGGTTCATCCAGATTTGCGGGTACCTCCCAGTGCACCATATACTGCTTATATAGTGGAGGATCTTCTTGCCAACCGGGGCGAGAAGGTTTAGATATTCTGGACCCCGATCGTCCGCAGGGTACTTATTAGTAAGGTTTTTTTTTTTGAATTCCTAATTTTTTATTTATAAAATTCATAATTTATATTATTTTCCAGGTTTGGAGCTAACAACCGCGTTAGCCGGAGTGTTTTAGACACGATGAAGGGGTACTTTCTCGAGGCCCATCCGAATTGGAGTATGGCTCCAGACCACGTGAAGATAACGTGGTTTAAAATGTTTGCGGTAAATATGTTTATAATATTTAATATTTATTTTAATATTATTTTTTTAATATTTTAAAATTATCATTTTTGGTTTCAGCAAAAGTGGCATTGGCCATTATCGATCAACGAGAAGGTGAAGGAGGCTTTTATAGCAAAAGCCAAGACTCGTCTTTGCAACACCGTCTCGGATTGGAAGGACAAATGGGAACTCTACGGTTATGAAGGGAAGCCCAAGGAGATCTCCAACTTTGTATGGAATGGTCTCATCCGCTATTGGAGCCTACCTGCCTCCATCAAAAAGTCCAACTCCTGCTCTTCTTCCCGAATAACGAAGGATAAGTACGGAAATGACCCCATGCTTCATAGATCCGGCCAGAAGCCTCATGCTGGGATTCGTCTAGATGTTGTAAGTTTTATTTTAATATTTTTTTTTTAAATTATTTGCTAATTAAGTAATTAAAAAATTAACTCTTTTATTTTGTCTGTAGGCCGAGAAGACCGGAGTCATGCCATCTCTGACTGAGCTATTCAGGATGACTCACGCCACACCAGATGTAGTTTTTGTGGATCCACGTTCCGAGAGACTCTATAACGATGTGGTTTCTCGGGTCGAGGAGCGGCAGACACAACTAACCCAGCAAGCTCCCGATGGGTCACCCGTCACATTGACTACAGAAGAAGTCGATCGGATTTTCGAAGAGGTAAATTTTTTGAATAAATTTTAATTTGTTTATATTAATTTGATTTCATTAATTATTATTTCAATATTAATGAACCTTTTTTTGAAACAAGGTGGCTCCTAAAAAGAAGGGACGGACGGTGGGAATATGCTCCGTTAACGAAGTTCCAAAGGCAACTTCTTCGTACACTTCGCGCCGGGATGAGGAAACTTCTCAGCTGCGGTCTCAGATGCGGTCCCAGCAGGAGCGTTTGGACTCTTTTGAGGATTTGTTGGACATCGTGGCCATCGATAACCCGGTTATACAGAGAGCGCTAAATGCAAGACGAGCGGCTCTCAGAATGGAGCAGCATCCTCCTGAGTCAACCAGTCGACCCGGCCCGGAACTCAGCCACCCCGACGAGTACCTCCGCACCAACATGCAGTAGTTTTATTTTATTTTATTTGCTTTTGTATCATAAATTTAAGTATTACAAATTTTTATATTATTTTATGACTTTTTTAATATAATGTTTTTTAAACAATCTTAATTTTAAAATTTTTGGTTTTATATTTTAAATTACGAAATTTATTAATAAAAATATATAATTTTAAAATTATATTATATATAAAAACCAAGTAATTTCGTTGTAAACTTTACAACGACTTAACATCGAATGACAAGTAAGTCGTTGTAATGTTTACTACGAGTTTACATGTTCTACTAGTAATCTACTCGTAAATTTACATCGACTTAACATCGAAGTTTTACGTGTCTATTACGTCGAAAAGGAACGAGGACGTTACGTGGCAGATTAACGTTGAGGTTACGATGAAGTTCTCTACATGTCTTTTACAACGATAGAGTTCCTCGTAACGTTACGTGGACTTTACGACGAAAACTGCATTACGACGGACGTTTAACAACGAAACGGCTTTCCTAGTTAATTCGTCGTAAAGGTCCTATTACGACGAATTAACCACGAATATAGCACTAGTAAAAAAGTCGTTTTCTTGTAGTGAATATATACGTATTTTAATGCAATTTTATCTTACTTATCCTATGTCCAAAGCTTTGACAAAAAATCCCATGTCCAAAGAATATAAAGTTGGATAAGATAACATATAGTATTTATATGCTTTGTTTAGATGCTTTATTATGCAAATTTTATACCATTATTTTTTTTGCTATTGATAAAAAGATGTGAAAGGCAAACTTTGAGTTTGACCTTTTGATTTTGGCATCATTTTAGATTATTGAAAACGTGCGAAAATTGAATTTTATATACACAAAGTACGAAGTCACATGACTAAAAAGAAAAAAAAAGAAAGTAACTTACTATTAAATTAGGATTTTTAGGATAATTTAGGGTTAACAAAAGATAAAAGAACACTGTATATGGATTAGTAATTACGATTGGTTAATAACAAAATGCTTGTATTTGGCCGTTTTCCTTACAATTGATACCAGACGTGAAATATGAGCTTTACTTTTTTAAAGCTGCATCTAATACCTTCATCGTTAAGGTAACGAACATTTTCAATTGAATACCATACATAATTGATGTAGCAGTAGGGTTATCCGCTTTTTAATCAAAATCAATTCATTTGGAATAAAAATAAAGTATGTATATTTTAGCCAGTTTAGGACACGACAAATGTTTTGGAATCAATTCGTTTGTGTTTATCCAGAACAAGCACTTGTAGTCAGTCATAGCCTATCTGCCTATGTAATATATATACATCAATCAGTTCCCTCTTAGTCATGCATCCTTCACTAAGACTCTAAGAGTACACTTTTGAAAGTAACTTGCCTTTCTTCTTCTCTTATTACTTCTACACCCATGGGTTTATCACCATATCCACTTTTCAGACATGCTTAAGATTCTGCAGACAAGATTGGATCCTCCCATCCTGATACAATGGACCTAGTGTTGGATCTTGAATCGGGCCCGGTCTATGAGTTGCAGAAACTGGGTCCTGGAGAGTGGCGGTCTCCTACGAATCCAGACCTTTGCTGTATCTACAGAGTCCCAAACAGTATGTATCAAATGAGTCCAGAAGCATACACTCCTCAGCTGGTCCTCATTGGACCGCTTCACCATTCTTTAAAATCTCCAGCTTTCAAGTCTCGTGGAAACATCACAAACAGAAAGTTGATGGGTTACTTAAACATGGAGGAGCAAAAGAAGATTTACTTGGCGGGATTTACACGAAGATTTGAAGGCGAAAAAATCATTGACACATTCAGAAACATTATCAAAGAAGACGAAGTTATAATCAGAGCAAGCTATTCAGAATCAACGGCATGGATTGAATCTGAAGATTTCGTGGAGATGATCCTGCAAGACTCTGTTTTCATAATAGAGCTCATGTTGAGGAATTATGCTACTGAGAAAGATAAAATAGGGGATCATCTTATGGACGAGCCGTGTCTTGAAATCACAATCAAGGGAGATCTCATCTTGCTCGAGAACCAGCTTCCTTACTTTATTCTCGAGAAACTCTTCGATCCTGTTGTCCAAACTCTAAACCCGAACCAGACTCTCTGTCAGCTTGTTATCAACTACTTTCGTCGCGACCTGGAGAACACAAAGATCTGCGGCCAGAAAAAGTTCAGACATTTCACCGATCTGGTCAGGTGTGTCCGCGTGGAGGGTAAATTTCCGAAGTATGAGTATGAAGATTTCCAACCAAGTTACAAAATACATAACATTAACGCTCATAAGCTAGACAACGGAGGAGTGAAATTTAAGCCCACGGAAAATGCGTTTCCAGTTCTGGTGGCATTCAATCCTAAAAGTGGTTGCTTGGCGATACCCCATTTCAAGGCTGATGACAGTGTGGAGCTAACAATTAGAAATATAATGGCACTTGAGCAATGCCATTATCCATACGAAGCCCACGTCTGCAGCTATATCATTTTCTTGGATTTCCTCATTGATACCGACAAAGACGTTGAGTTGCTTGTCGAGAAAGGTAACCCTTTTATCATAACCCAATCTCCCTTTCCTTTCTTTTGTTTTATATCAAGTGATGTTTTAGATTTTATGAAATTAAGTTCAAAAAAAAAAAGTGATGTTTTAGATTTTAAAACTTATGTGTGTTTTATATTGTTTTTCAATGTATATGTTTATTTTTAAATTTCACCTTCGTATTTTGGTTCATTAATTACCAAAATCAAACAAAATAATATATTAATTAGAATATTTATAAGCAGAACATAAATTAAACTTGTTATTATGTTTAAAATTCCTAAAAAATGAAATGGTGTATTACTTAGGTTTTATATATGTTAGTGTGTCTCTGTGTAGTGATTCTTGCAGGTCGACTGTGAGGTATGTTTAGTGAAACATTTGTCTCAGGTTCCAAAAAAATTTGAAAAAAATTACATGAATATAGGCTCCAAAATTTTTTTTCTAGACCCCCAGATTTCTTTTAACATAAAAATAGCTATAGACCCCAAAATCTCAGGGATGGCTCTGATGTTTTTTTTTGTTTTTGTTATGTTAGGTATAATAACGAATTTACTTGGGAACCACGGTGTGGTGGCTAAAATGGTGAATAGGCTCTGTTTGGGGGTCCCCGAAGACGGTGCTTACTATTCTCGAATCGCAAAACAAGTCAGAGATTACTACAACAGCGAATACAATAAGTCACGCACCATCCTCAAGCGTGTGTATTGCAGCGACCTGTGGAGCGGGATAGCCACCGTAGGCGCTACGTTTCTGTTGCTGCTGACTCTTATCCAGACCGTGACTTCAGTTATTGAAGTTTTGTCGAAAAAGTGACACTTGTCTCTATCTAAATGCACTTTCGTCACTTATGTCTTCGATTTCATATTTACTGGTTCAAATGATTTAGCTAGTAAGAACTAGCAAGATGTGATGTTCTTTTATGATATCTATTTTTATTAGCAACTGTATTGTGAAGTTGTTGAATTTGATTACAAGAGTCTATTGTTTCATGCCGATCATGCTCCGTTGGTTCATACGTAGTTAACAACTTAATATAAGGCTGAAGAGCCGTAGTGGACCTAGAAATTTTTTAACCGGAATCAATCTTATATAAAATATAATAAAATAATATTTTGGATTATTATTATTTATAATTTTCAAAACTTAAATTTATTTACTAGCTATTGCTGAAAAATGTAAAACTGATTTGGAGTTAAATATTATAATTAGAATTGATAATTTAGTTTAAATTAATTGATATTGAAATATCATCTATTAACATTTATATAACCTATTACTATACCCAATTTTTACTAGTATTAAACTCTGAATCAAAGAATATTTGTATTTAATATATTTAATAAATTTGAAAACATCAAAGCAATGATAATTTATCTAAAAAAGACAAATCCATACCATTAATTTTAATTTTAATTTTAAACCATTAAGAGCTTGTTTAAATTTTAGCATGTTCTTCAATTCAAACAAAAGGAAAGGAATAAAAATACTTGATATTTTACTTTATTTAAAAATTATTTTGTTTATCTAAAATTACTTATTTGGATTTATTTAAAATTAAGATGATAAAATAGTTTTTTTTGTCGTACTATGTGGACTTCACAAAATTAGGGTCAGTTGAAAATTTCTATGGGTCAATACTGTAAATTTGGGCAAAACATTTTAAATAATTTTAATCAAACGGAATCATCTGACACCACTCTCAACAACATGCCTCCGCCCCTGCTAAATAGGATGCATAAACAGATTGATCAATAAAAAACCGCTAAAACCCGGCTGAAGAGGATGCAAATAATAATTTAGTTGGTTCAGAACTAACTAGGTTCGGTTTCGTACGTTTATATAAATCAAAAACCGCCTAAACCTGATATTAATTAGATTCGGTCCAGTTTTGAATTTTAGTAGCTATAAATAACCATATAAATCGAATATAACCAAATGAAACCAAATTTAATCGATAATAACCAAATTTATCTGAAAATATTCATTATAAAAACAATTTAGCAAGCATGAGTTTCAAACTTTCAAACACACCAAAAGCCTTATAACTAAACACACCAAAACAGAATAACTTGTGAAAACAAACCATCATTTAAACCGGAAACAAAGTTTCAAATTGCAATCATAAAACATAAGATGATGAAATCTATAATCTTGAAGACCTGAACTGATGAAAGCTACATTTTTCTCAAGCGATCAGTCAAATTGCTTAATCCTTTTCTGGAATTGTTGTGTCTCCACAAACTGAAAACAAAGTAAAAACAATTTTTAAGAACACAAAGCAAACACAATTAAAAAGATCACAAACTATAAGAATGCAAGATTGATCTTGGATATTACCTCTTTCACGGATGTCAACTTCTTCAAGATCAGCTAGTACTTGGGAATTTGAAAGCACTCTTAATTTCATCTTTAGATCTTACTTCATCCACTGCTCTGCACACATTAAAACTTCAACCATGAAATGAGTCAGACAACTTCTGTGTGGTTTTAGAAGCCCACCACTAGTGCTAAATGCATTCTCTGAAGCAACTGATGATACTTGTAAGGCTAACACAACCCAAGCAATCAACAAAAAAATAGGAAATTTAGATGTGTTTTTTCTCCACCCTGAGAGTGCTTCGTACTCCATTCCAATCATCAGGTCTGGGTTTTTCACAGATTCATTAAAGTACGTGTCCAACTCATCATTTTCTCTCTAACCCCTATCTCGCTCAGTTTCTGCTTGTACCTTACATCCATCTGTTTGTAACCCACATAATCGTCAATAAGCTCCATCCTTTCAATACATTGCTCCCTAGACAGAGATTGCTTCATAGAATGAGATGGCTGGTCCCTTGGATCATAACCTCTTCCATGTCTTGCATTGTACTCTTTGAACAAACTTCTCAACATTCTCATCAAGGAGTCATACATCTCGTTATACTCAGTACTCTCTAGCCAATAACTCCGTAAAACACATCTTTGCAAGCTCCAACTTATTGGTTGGATCAAAAAACAGTAGCCACAATTAACATCAAGTTAATATACTTCACACCATCCCAGTAATTGCCAAACTTTTTAAGCATCTCTGTCGCCTTAGTCTTCAAATCAGGATATTTGCTGCTACAGAGTCCTCTCAGATTGGTCGCGATAGTTACTATCTCACCATATCACCTATGAGAATTGAGTGAAGTTGAAGCTGAGACCACCAATGTTGAGTTGTAGAAAATCATAAGAAACCGACACAACTTCTCAATAGCATTCCGATCCCTTAGCTGAGGAGGTCCTATCCTTTTTGCTCCATTCTCAGACTCACAAAAAGAATCATTTTATAGCTTGTCTTCAGCCTTCATATTATCGAAATCCACCTTGAAATTTTGAGCTGTTGTAAACATTAGATAGGTTGAATTCTACCTTGTCTTGACATCCAATGGCAAACTTCTTCTTGTAATCTTACCCGAGTCAACTTTCAGCTCAAAAGATCTCAACCTGTTAGTATGTGATCTGACATAGGAGATAGCATTACGGATCACAACCACATTCTGATCTATTTCAGCCATTCCATCTCTAACTACCAAGTTAATGATATGGGCATTACATCTCATTTGAAAAAAATCAGCATCTAACACAAAAGCCTGATCTGAACCCAAAGCAAAATTATCCTCAAACTTCCTCAAAGCATAAGTATTGGAAGAAGCATTGTCTACCATTATACAGAAAACCTTATCTATTCCTCAGTCAGCCAAACAGTCTAGAAGAACATATACTATAGTCTGATCTTTGTGATCCGTGATGTGTTTGAATTCTATGATCAGTTTCTTCAATTGCCAAAAAGCATCAATATAATGAACTGTGATGACCATTTAACTCGCACCTATATAAACTGAAAAATAAAAAGCATATGATCAGATTTTGATATGTATATAAGAATCAAATGATGTCTAATTTATAAAAGATTAAAGAGCATTTGTGGTTTAGGAAACCCAATATCACAGATACTCGTTGTTTGTTACACAAGAACTAGTTTTTCTAGGCAAAATTCCTTTCCACATATATTTTGAGAATGTCTTTTGTCGAAGTTCTTCTTGAATGAGGAGTGAACACAATTGTATACAAACAAAAAACATAAGAAATTAGTTACAACAAATGATAACAGTAAAATATAGAAAGAAGAGAAGTAGAGAACTAACCTTGCTACATAAATGTTTCCATGCTACACTTTCAACAATTGCTAAAGGAAATTTCCCAAACACAAGCATCTAATTCATGGCTTCTCTAAACTGACATTCAGTCAACTCTACCTTCTTAAGTTTCCTTCATCATCAATAACGAGCTGCTTTGTTTTTTTCTCCAACTGTTTAAGCAAAATGGTTCTTGCATATTTCAAGATGTTTCTTCATATTTGAGGTCCCTGTGGTTGTGAGACATGAAAATGTGTCTGGCAGTAGTTGCATAGACACTTGTCTCGATCTTTTTTGGCTCTTGTGTAATGATCCCCACTGACCTTGTAGGGAGAATACACTTCACTTTATTTGGTTGAGATGTTGGTGGAGTTTCTTTCCTCTTGCCATCATTACTCGGTGTTTGAATGTCTCCTATCTTTGTTATGAGTTTCATGGTCAAGAGACGATGTTGAGTCCATCTGCAAAAGGAGAAAAACCAAACAAAAAAAAATCAGTTCCAGTTCTATACTCTATTACAACGAGTCTTACAGATCTTAAATTCAAAACAAAAAAAAAAATTTCAGTTCTAAACTAGCTTGAGGAACAGCTAACTTCCACATATAAACTAACTTAAGGAACTTCCACAAACCAAACCGTATCTTACTGATTTGACTCGACTCGGAACAAAGAAGAATAAGAGTCGAAGAAAGAGAGAGAGAGACAATACATGTGACTGGATTATTGAATGCACAGATGAAGCAGTGGAGAGGCTAGGTGATTTATAGTGCCCATGGGAGTTTCTTAGTGATGATAACCAATAATCGAGGAAGCTACTTTGAAAATAGGTTTCGTCGCTTCGTCAACCGAAGAGAAACGCAAGAGCCGAAGAGTTTCTTACTGTGTACTGAATGTATCTATACACTAGGGACAAGTTATAAATGCTCGGTTTTAATCAGTTATCTAGTTTGGATTCTGCTTTATAACTGAACCGATCTGTAGCCAAAATCCTTGGGCCTCAAGACCCATTCAGTTATTTTAACGGATCCGTTACTGATCCGAATGGCTCGGCTTAAGATGTGGGCTTCCGGTTCAGTACAAAAATCCTATGCCTAGTGACTACCATGAACTTATTTCCTTCCTGAATCATATCTTTGTATTCAACGTTCTCTTAAAAAACACGCGAGGTCCATTAATTTTGGTAATACGAGGTCCATCACGTGATAAGGATAACTATCGAGCAAACGAGCCCATGAAGAACCCGTCGAGTAAGACAAGAGCTAACGTTGGACCCAATTTCCGTAGGAAGCTCAGGCCCATATGCTATCACCATCAATTCGACCCAAATTGAGCACGACGAGGTCGAACTACTATTCCGAAGATCGCGGAAGCAGTTAGAGGAGAAGGAGACAATAAAAGAGGAGTTAGAACAGGGCAGGGCATAAGGGGAGGCAGAAAAACCCTACAGAAAATCACTATTCCCATCAACCTAACTCCTTAACATTTAGTTCGCATATAGTTTCGGTCTTTCTTTTTTGTTCTCGATCTCGATTATTACTTTGCACTAAATTTCATATTCAATAAAGTCCATTTTTCTCAACCGAATTTCGATTGTATCGTTTTGCTCTAAAAGCATCATTGTCCACATCACTTATTTTCCCCATATTGAACTCTTGATCACTACAAAATACTTAGTGTGGATTTTAGGATCTACATTTTGGCGCCGACTGTGGGGAGGATAAACGAAAAATGCCCTTGCTAAGAACCCGATCTAGGATTTCTAAGCACGATTATGGATCCAAACCAAACTCGATCCCGTTATTCCAAAATAAAAGTGGCAGATCGTGACTCATC